TTTTTTTGAGTTGAATTGAAAAATAATAGTCTACATTTTTGTCGTAATTATTAGTTCCATTAGCTATAAATCTGAATTTTAATGGTGTTTTATGAAATTTGGTAATTGCATATAGGTTAGTAAATCTGTTGTAGTTTGGATTTAAAGTAATATTTAGTTTTTCATCAAAAGTTTTAATTCTGTTTATTATAGATGTTTCTGTAAGGTTGGATAATTGATAAGTAGTTGTGTTGAGAAGTTCTTTATGAATAATTTCTGCATAGAATTGTTTTCATATAATGCTAAAGTTATTATTTGGTTTATCTATTTTTGTAATAGTAAAAAGTTGTTTTAATTTTTTAATATCTGATGTAAGTTGCGACCAATTCAATGTACTTTTAAACTTGAGGTGACTGATTTCGGTGGATATGCGTTGAAGAATTTTAACTTTCCATTTTAAAAAGGTATCTATAGGTAAATTCAGTTGATAGCTTGCTTTAACTATAAATTTGTTGATGTTGTTTTCGAAAGTCTTGTAACAAATTGGAATTCCAAGATATCCAAAAAAGTAATTAACAATACAATAATAAATCAAATACAATGAATTAAAAATATCTGCACAGATACAATAGATCTACAACATGAAATTTTGCTCCTTATTAAAATTCTCAAAAATAATCTAATACCCAATCAATTTATTAACCATTTACCTTAAAAGAGCAGGTGTTAAATACTCACTCTAAATAATTTAACTGATAGGGATATGATAATTTGTTCCTAAACCTGAGAAGGGGGTATAAGTTGGGTGACTGTCAGTTGAAGGATTTGTATATAGTGTAATTACTAAGTTGTATATATTGTAAAAAGCTAATTGTCTTCAGACTTCTGCTGTTACTATGCAGTTACTAAAAATGGGCCTATTTCATAATCTTTAGTCTGTCAAATTGCAAATTTCACTTTGACAGTAAAAATTCCTTTTTTTCTTTCTTAAATTCTTAATCGTTTCAACACGCCAATTAGCCAGAAATTAATTATTTTCCATTCACTAGTATTTTCAAAAAAATTTTAACAGACGGTTTCACTCAAATAAGAACTCCTCAGAATACATCCCTCAAGAATTTCCTAGTCCCACCCACTACCATAAATTACTTCAACCAAGTCTTACCGACTGATATTATTCAAAGCCGCCGCTCCGCTAGAGAATTTTCGGAAACACTACGCTTCTGAGTCAGACACGAAGAGAACACTTTGCCCACTGCCCACTAGAAAGAATGTAAGTTAATTAATACTTTTTCTGGCCTTTATATCTTCATGTACATTCACTTTTCTTATTATATTTTTTTATTTTTACTTTATTTTTGATTTGTTTTTACAAAGTTTGCATTATTTATCTTATATTTTGTAATTTTCTAATGTTTATTTCAACTACTTTGAATTCTATTTCATAATGAAAATTTCCAATGTTTAATTTTTACAAATACAGTCAAAAGTCGTTAATACGGACTCGTTGTGACTTCGGTGATTCCGGATTATCGATTTTTCCGGATTATAGATCATCAGTTTAAATCTCGTAAGATGGCATGCAGAAATTCTAAAATTAAAAATATGAAACCGTAATTTATGAAATAAAGAACAATTATGATCTAAAGGGTATCAAAATTTAAAAAAAAAAAAAAAAAAAAAAAAAAAAAGCTTAATATTTATTGTGGTTTACTTTATTAAACATTTCTCTCAATGTAAGTTGTTTAAGTTGCTTCATTTTATGTGATAATACTTTCTCTTTAATTCTATAAAAAGACAATTTCTTGTTCAGTTACAAAGTTCTGCTGTTCAAGTCCCGTTAATTGCTGTGCTGAGAATACCGACTAACTTGTCAATCAAAATTTTTTCATTTTCACTAACTTCTCTGTCACATTCTTCGTGTCTTTATCCATTTTTTGCAGCAATTCCACTTTTTGTTTGTTGGATATCGAAACATACTTTCGTTTTGTAGATCCTTTGGAAGTTCCAGCATCGGAAATTCTATTTGACATAATCGAAAGTTCAAGTTTACTTTTATAAAATTGCTCTTACATTCTGCAAAAAATAATAAGCCAGATCCAATTCGAAGATTAAGGAACAACACAATCATTAACATTAACTGAAATAGATAATTAGATAATTTTAGCTTACACCGTCCGTTATACATTAAACGCGCAGGCGAAAACGTATTCTGCACTTGCGCACACGCATATGCGCAGTAGTCAAGGTCTTACGCACACGCGTAAAACGGCTGTGCGCATGTGCCAACGTGGCGCATGCGCAGAAAGTTTTTAGCTTTGAGGTCCGGATTACAGATTATTCCGGATTATGGGTGTCCAAATTAACGACTTTTGACTGTAATATTGAACTCAAATGCATAAACACGAGGGTGTCGGGGGATGGTTACTCGAGCATTATCGAAAATTTACTGCAAAAATTGCTTTTCACTCAAAATTGAATTGGCTAAAATGCTTAATAGGAATAAATTCTTTGAATATCAGCATTGGTTCATAATCCCTTCTATTCATGGAAATATTTGGCCTGACTTGAATTGCCGGTTTGGCTTAGCCTTATTGCTCGAGTAAAGATGAAACACCATCGTATTTATTTATTAATTATTGTTCATTGAACGGAGTTTGGTTTTTTCCCCCTTGAAAAGCCAACTAATTTCCGATGAATGACAATGATTACATGCATTTAATTTAATTTTTGCCTTTAATTTATTCCTTTTACAATTGAAATTTTGTTATTCATGATTTAATTCCAGTCCCCGTTAAAACATTTTTAACAATTAACTTTCAAGTTACTTCAAAACATCTTTCAAAATATATTTTTCTAAAATGGATTCACTCTTTTAAGATAATCCTACTATAATTAAACTTAGGAGATAATATAATCAATTAATCAATATTATTTAGTAAATAAATTAAAATTAACTTACTCTGCAGCAATTGCGCAAGTAGTAGTAACTTGTTTTCACACTAAATGAATTTAAGATCATACAACATTTTATATGTATGTATGTATATATATATATTTACTTTTGGTGTGGGTGATTGCCACCAGAAAGGGAGGTGCACAGCTATATTCTATAGCTGTGTATATATACAAAATTTCAGTGTTCTGAGGCTACTCGTTTTTGAGTTATGTGAGATACATACATACATGTACACATATATATGTACATGCATATGTCTATATGTATTGATTCAGAAGAGATTTTAAATCAGTTTTAAAATTTTTTTGGGGAAAAAGAATTTTTTACTCTGTCATACAGATCTCATGCAAAATTATCAATTAATTGCATTCAATTGTGGTCAAAATGGATATTTTCATTGAAATATGGTACCTGGAATTTTTCGTGATTACAATATTTCCTTTACTTCATACAAGGAAGTTAAAATGAAGCATTCATATATATTCATTCAGCTAGCATTCATATTCATGCAAAGTCTTATGATATTTCAAACATAAACTTTCGTGTCTTTGGTCTGCCGAAAAGAACTCTATCCGAGCACAAACATACCACAATTTATGGACTCTGGAAAGTAATTAAAGAGGAGTGTAAAACAATAAAAACCCCTGGAGATTTTTTAAAAAATCTTTCTTCTATGGAAAATGTGATGCAGACTTACACTTCTGAATAAAGCATTATCAGATAAAATATTTAAATACAGTACAAAATTTAAAAGTCCAAGATCCAAAATTGTTTCAACTTCAGAAGTTCTGGATTTTTTTAATTTCTGGATTTAAATCATCAGTGTAAATCTAGTTAGATGACATGTAGAAATGACAACATTGGGGCTTCATTTATTGTGAAGTCAGCTAGAAAAATGGTAACATCCTCTCACAACCACTTAAAGGCTGAAGGTGTGAGTACAGCCAACATCAACCAGTATATTGTTACTGGCCATGGTAGGATTCCCTAGCCTGCAGGTGATAGAAGAAATCTCAGTTAGCCTGAGAAAAATAACATTTGTAGCACATCTGCATATTTATTTATTTTTTATGCATTTTAAATATTAAATGTGCCCAAAAGCAGTCTAAAATGTGTATATTAAATAAGTTGAGTAATTTATATAATACATTTTTAATTTTAATCAATTTTCTACTTAACTCTGAATTTTCCAATGTATATGTAACTCTTAAATTATGAAAATGAAGTCCTATGTTATTTAAGTAAAGAGAACTCTGCTTTCTTTAAACAATGTTGAAAGTAGTTTTATAGATAACTTTTTTTTCTTTTACACCTTTCTTGCCCTTTATTATTTTCAACAGTGATGTTAAATGTATTTTGCATAAAAAAATATCAAATTTTCCTTTTAAATTTTTTAAAGAATTTTCATTTAAATCATATATTAGAAATAATATACAGCTGTATCATCGTTGCATTTTTTATTTCATTTAAATTTGCATTTTGTTGCACTTAGGGCATTTGAACTGCTTAACTATTGTAAAGTGGATACATTTTAAAAACTGCATGATTAAAGTCAATTGTATAATTTTAAGTGCATAAATATTTTGGAGGGGGGGGGGAAAGGCTACTTGTAAAAACTGAAATTAACCCATTTAAATGGTTAAATTAAATCATTTAAATAAATTAAAACTCATGAAATGCATTAAATGTTTATTTTATTATAATCATTACTTCTGAAGAAGCGACCCATTAATCACATGGTCAAATCTGAGAGAATGCTTGATGAAAATTAATAGTGTTTTAATTTAAATGCATAAGCAATTCCAGAAAAAAGGACTACGAAAAGCTTGAAATTATTCCATAAATACTTATGAATCAATTTCCATTTAAAAACATGTTTTGTGAAATATTGCCAAAATTGGTATTAGGCCGCTTCAAATATATTTAAGGGAATCTGCTGATTGCAGCTTAAGAAATGTTACTAGAAAGCATGGTTTAATGAAGAAAAAATTTATCTTAAAGGTAAATATGAATTGTACCTTTGCAAATGTTATTTTTAATTAAATAATTTTGCCTTTTATAGGAAGAGCAAACTCCACTCCATATAGCTGCCAGGCTTGGTAACGTAGATATAGTAAGTCTTTTACTGCAGCATGGTGCTGCTGTAGATGCTACAACTAAAGATATGTACACAGCACTCCACATTGCAGCCAAGGAAGATCAAGAAGAAGTTGCATCAGCTCTTCTAGACCATGGAGCTTCCCTCACTTCTACAACTAAAGTAGGTATTCACTTTCTATTATTCAAATTCATGCTATAATTGCGCAATTAATTTTTTTGATCTGTCACTATATGTAATTACTCTCTTTGATATGATTTGGAATATCATTATGCTTTACTGAAATAAATGATTCTCAAATTGTTGTACAATTTTGATTTGCTCCAAAATATTATTCTAAAGATCTCAGTTGTATCTAGATCAATTATTCTCATTCTTTAGAATGCATACATTTCGGGGATCTGTAATGAAATGTTTGGGAGAATGCCAAGCAAGCTCAAAAATTACTATATCTGGTAATAAAATCCCTGAACTCATAGAACTGTTCCTGATTACATTTTGAGTGATGTAATGCAGTGTTGTAACTCATTCTTGTATGTTTTAATTAGTCCTTCCTTTCCTTGCCTGAGTTACCCAGTAAAACTTTTACATTTTTGCAAAATTTGTCAAACTATTTATACCATTTTTATTGCCATATGAATTCGTAAACGCAGAATTCAATTTGTGTATATGATCACACTTATGTTTCACTTTATACTCCTTATTCTACAACTCTATGCAAAGGGTATGCCAATTATATAAACGTTTTCAGGGGGATACGAAAAAAAAAAGTTGAGATCGGCTAGGTGAACAGTAAGTAAACCTATTTCCCCCTTCCCTTCTTTTTTTTTTTCTTTCTCTCTCTTTGTCCTCAATATGCATAGTAATTTTACAATAAATTTTGCTTTTGTCTGTGGGTGTTAAATATTAAAATCTGGCTCATAATTTCATTATAATCTGCTTATAAAATTATAAAACTAGTCTGGGCACTCATTCATGTCATTAGAATGTCTCACTTAACACTTTCACTACCAGTCTTGCGACAGTACGTGATGGGGCATGAATGCGTAAGTGCCAATCATGCATCAGCACATAGTGTGATGTCTCACATTCATGAGGGGAAAGCTGCACTTCAATATTTATTCTCCACTTCAATTGCCATTATATGTTAGGTGTGTCTGCTGATACTGATGTGGAGTAAGAGCTAGTTGTAAAGGTATGTAGTTTTGAATTAATAACTTTATTAGTTATTGAAAGAAATCTTGTAATACGAGTTGTAGAGACGATAGTTCTGCAAGATCTTCATGCCTCCCAAAAAGAAAAGTGCAATTTAATAAGCCTCTAACAGATGATGAAATTGCAGTTTTGGTGGCTGGCTGATGAATACCCAAGTGATATTAGTTATGACAGCGATGAAGAATTCATTTCTGCCCAAGGTGCCACTGATATTTTGGATTCTGAAGGAGAAGAGCTGCAAGAAATGCAGGAGGTAACATGTCATCCATATGATTCTGCTATGGTAGAAAATATAATTTGGAAAGATGACTCCACAGCAATGGAACAATTTCCTTTCAAAAAATCATTGTATTTGTTGCAACCTGTGTCAGGTAACAATCTATTTGATCAATTTCACCATTTATTTACCAAAAATACCTTGGTTGAAGTAATTGCTCAAACCAGTAACTATGCTTGTAAAGTACTGAAACAAAGAAACATTCCTTGAAACAAAGAAACATTCTAGAATTAATGCTTGGAAAGAAACTGCAAAAGGTGAGATATTGGTATTTGTGGGATTAATTTTACATATGGGAACTATAAGAATAAACCACATTCAAGATTATTTTAAAACAGATACACTTTTAGACTTGACTGTATTCTCATATAATATGAGCAGGAATTATTTTCTTTTATTGCTGAGGGCATTGCACTTCACATATATCCCAAAGCAAAATGCAAAATCTCCAAATGGTTAACTACATGAGATCAGAAATATGGTAATTTTTTCCAACACATAATTGGCTAAAATATTACCCAAGAAGAAAGATTAGATGAATCGATGGTATTGTGGTATGCACAGCTCATTTTTAAAGAGTCTATTCCAAGCAAATGTCATACATATGGTATCAAGTTATACATGGTCATGACACCTAATGGTATGGTTATCAAATTTATGGTGTGTACCGGCAAGGTGAATGATTTAGTTGGGAAGGGACATGTATAAAAAATGCTGCTGAATTTATTGGAAGGAATGCTAGGTGTTGGGCATAGTGTATTTATGGGAAATTACTGTAATAGCTAGAAACTGACAAAATCTTCTGTTGATAGAAAAAATCATTGTACTAGGACAATCAGAAAGAACAAAAAGAAATTTCCAAAAGAGGTTAGGGAGAAAAACTAAAGAAAGGGGAACTGTAGCAAAGTATGTTAATGATGTAATGATTGGCAAATGGAAAGCTGAAAGAGATGTAACTTACATTTCTAATGAATACAAAAATGATATTGTTGAAATGACAAACAAAGGGTTAAAATCAAAATCACTATCTGTCATACGCTATAGTAAATTTATGGCAGGTATTGATAAGAAAGATCAGATGCTTGCCTATTATATCCATGTGAATGAAAAACTATTAAGTGGCCTACTAAAATATTTGTGCATATTTTGCAATTAATGATTTCAGAGTCTCGATTTCAGAGTCTCACTTTCTCTCAAATATTCCACTAAAACTCACTTTCTTAACAAATATTCCACAAAAAATATGTGACTTTATGACTTTTGTTTATTAGTGATAGAGTATTTATTGAAACCAGAATCTGTCTTTTGTGTTTCTGTGCATAATTCAGCTGGATCAGAACATGTGCTGAAGCTGAAGGAATAAAAGAAAGGTGGAAAGATATTGTGAAAGTAATGCAATATTTGCTATTCTCCGAGAAAGTGAAAAGATACCATTTATATCTATAAAGTTTGTGACAGATCTCCTAGTTATTGCTTAGATTGTGTGAAAGTGACCCATAAATAAAATGTTTAAATATTGTTTGCAGTAATAATATCATTGTAACCAGCTTGCAATAATTCATTTATGTTAAATATTTTTAACGATAAAGTATCATACAAAAATAGTTCATTTTGTCACTTATTTTCATGATATTGTTCATTTTTGCACATCACCTGCCAGCATGTAATGTGGCATTTAGGAAATAATTTAACCTCTAGTGCCTGTCACATGCTGGCCTAGCATGTAGTCAAAATATTCTATCAGGAAAGGCCTAAATATTACTTATAATCAGTTTGGTAGACATAATTATATTTTATTATCACTTTGAATCATATTTGTTAAAATTATTAATCATATTAAAAATAAGTGGCAATCTGGGAAAAACCCATTTCTATCTTGGGGCTATAACTATTAACACATCGTCACGTGACTGGCACTAAAAGTATTGAATAGCTACATGAATTTAAAAAGAGCCTTTTCATTTAATGCAGTTGACTAAATATAAGTTCCGGCTAAGGATAGAAAAAATAAGTCATAGTTGAAATAAAACAGTGTTTCAAAATGATTGTGTAACTAAATAATTCACGAGCATTTGTGTGTAGGCTTAGGTTCTATTTAAACAAATGAATCAAATAGGATGATTTTCAGACTGACAGTTTCTTTGTGTGCGAATCTTTTAGTGAAAATATAGAAAATTTTAAGTTCTCATGAAGGAATTTCTAATTTACAAAGTTATTACTTACCTTAATAATAATTATTTATTGTTTATGTGATATGTGAAGCATGAATTGATAAAAATTATGAAAATTATGTTACTCTTTTAAACGAGGAAAAGAAACCAAAGCATCAAAAGTGCTTTTTTGAGGGTCCTATAAAAACAAAATATTAGATATTTATTAGATAACATTATTGAAATTTAACACATCTGAAAATAGAAATTTGAAATCCATGCTTATATCTTCAGGTTTGTCTGATGCAGAATACAGAAAATAGGGTTTAAAAATGTAAATTTTTCAATTACATGCATAGGTTTCAAATTTCTTATTTATTGAATTATATTTGGGGTAATTTTAATTACATATTAATTTGTATATGTGTGTATTTCCCTAATTCAGTAGTGGGAGGTATTATTTCATTTCCCTATTTTGTCACCTCCACAAAGGCATCCCTTCTTTTAGGCAGATAGCCCTCATGTGCTTTGCCATAATTAAATAATCCAATCCAATTCCTCTTTTGTCTATAGAACCATAATAATATTTATCCAAAAGCTGAAGCTAAAAAAGTCAAGAGCAAGTAAATAAATTAACAGCAAACTTAAGTTTATTTGCCTTAGAAGGGAAAATAAGCAGTCTGGATAAGTAGAGTTCTGCTGTTTCTAATTCTAAATTTGAGATTTTGATGAAACATTACTCAGGTTTCATAGATATTTCTGATTTAAGTAACCAAAGTGGCATTTGAATTTATTACTGTAATAGGATACATTATCCACTGTTTATTTAAATTATTTGCTTTTAAATTGTCAGTCATAAATAAATATCCTTCAGTCACTCTTATTAATTACTTATTCAAAAGTAACTAATAATTTCATATATGTATATGGTTATACTTTTTTCTACTTTTTAGTATGCATGCTATCATAATAAAATGTAATAGTAATAGGAAAACAACAAAGTTCAATGCAGTTTAATTTTTTTAAGTATATGAACCTTAAATTAAAGTTAAAATTGTTGAAGAAGGGAAAGGCCAGTTAAGGAGATTAAAAAAAATACATTAACCATGAGAATGAGTAATTTTTTTGAAATAAACTATTGAATAAGCTTTAGTTTTGTAAATATGTTTCTTGATGGTTTTGTTCAATAAGCTAGTAAAAATAAATAAGTTACATTTTATGTTGAAGATATTAATGTAAACAAATATGTGAACCCATGCTTTATGAAATAAGAGTGTAGGGATAATTATTACCTTGGGGACAGTTTTGGAATTTTTTAAAACATTTATTTTATTATAATGTTGACAGTTTGTTACTATATACATAAAAATATCAGGTTGTAATAAAAGTTTTCCACCAAAAAATGTTCTTAATAAAGTTAGGGAAAAAAAGTGCCTTCATGTTGGTAGTAATCCCCACTCAAATCTATGATTTTCTGCCATGTTTCTTGATTGTTTTCAAAGCCTTTTTGGTAATTTTTAAAGCCTTCAGCCCAGAAACTTGGTGGGTGTGAGTACAAAAACGGGTCAACCTCATTTCGCACATCTTGTGAAAAATATAAGATAGCACCAGCAAGATGTAGTTGCAGGTGTGAAAAAACGTAGATGTTCGAAGGAGGGATGTTGAGGCTATATGTTGGGTGTGGCAAAAGATCCCATTCAGATCCGCACAAAGTCCAACCAATGAATGCAGACACATGTGATCTTGCATTATCTCGATGGAACATTATCTTTTTACCAGATCATTAACAGAACTCAGTTCAATGTTTTGTCTTGTTAGTAGCATCAACAGAGGCTAACATCTCACTGTACATCTTACTATCAAGAGTTTTACCTTTTACTATCTACTCTTTGTGGATAATACCACAAGAATCCCACCAGATAAAAAGCATCATATTTTTATTAGTCAAATTGCGGATTTGCGATGGTGCCGAGGGACTTATCGAGTGCTGACCGACCATCTTTTCTGCATGTATTGTTGAAGTAAATCCACGTTTTATCACAAGTGATGATCCAGTCCAGAATTTTGACCTTGCATTGATATTCTAGCAGATTAGTGCAGGCCTGAACACATATGCCTTTATCTGCTTGAGTCAGCTTATGTGGCACACAGGATATAAAATTGTACGTCAAGTTTATGCGACGCACAGCACGACTAGCAAGCTCTCAAGTGGTTGCATACTGATCATCTTCCCCAAGTTCTTACAGTTGGGCCTCATCAATATCAGCAGGCCGGCCAGAGCGCTCTGCTTCTTGTATCTCATAGTCCTTGTTTTTGAACTTTCAATACTAAATCTTCACAGTGTCATATGATACAGCATTAGTACCTAAAGCTGCACACATGATTTGGTGACTTTTTGCAACAGAACTGGAAGTAAACAATGGTTCTAATCTGGTAGCTTGATATTTCCATTTCAGACACCTTGGACTTAATGATGAGGATATTTTTTTGCAGATTTCACAACACAGTGTTCTAAAACAAGTCTTTTTCTTTCAAATGCCAGAAATCATGTGACAAAATATGGTTAAACACAGCAACATGAACTGTTTGCTAAGACAATATTTACGGTGGCGGTAAACTTTCGTCAATACCCGATATCCATGTTCTTGACAAATGACAAATTATTATAAAATAAATGCATAAATATCTATATTGTTGGTAGTTATTCTTTAAATGTTTAATCTCTTCAAATGCTATTGGAAAATATTTATACTTTAATGATCTTTCATCTTTATTATAATGTATGTTTATAATATTGTATTTAAATTTTGAAATTCCCAAAATAATAACTATTTTTTATCAAAAATGTTATATTTTTCTATTTTTAAATGGCATAATTATTCATTTTATTTCAAAAAGTGGATAAAATTTAAACTTAATTGCTTTTTTTCTTTTGATATTTTACATTTATCTTTATTTAGTGTGTACATTAAACTATTTTTTGTTTCTTTCTATTATAGAAAGGATTTACACCTCTTCACTTAGCAGCAAAATATGGGAATATCAAAGTTGCTCGTTTATTATTGCAGAAAGGTGCTCCTGTTGATGCACAAGGAAAGGTAAAAAAATGTTTTTGACATGATTAAAATAATTTTCTAATTTTGAAATAACTCTTTTACAAACTCTCTTCAATATTGTTGACACTGTTGTTACTGTTATAAAATATTCGTCATTCAATATTAGCAGTTATTCTGTGTTTGACTTTCAAAAAGCTCCTTTGTTAAGTAGCTATTGAATGAAGTATAAGAAATGTGTGTAAGAAGCCATGATATGCATGTATTTAATTCTGAATGCCTCGAAACTGATTTTAATAAGACTTTTTGTTTCAGTGAATTGTACACCAGAACTTCCCATTTATTAGTGAACATGTATCAGTCATTTTGATAAACTTTTAAAGATTTTTTTTACACGGAGTATAAATTTTATAAAAATTATAAAAATTAAATTAATTTATTCTTCTGAAATGTATTAATAGATTCCAAAAGAAATATTATGTTTGTCATGTTGGGACTTATTAAATTAATTAAAATTTATATTTTATATATCTTATTACAGATTTTTTTTTTTCTAATTTTGTGCCGTTTGAAGAATGTTTAATGTATAAGGTAAATATAGTTGAGACAAAAGTGTTTAATGACAGTAGTCTTCTTGTAGCGGTTATTCTGTTTAAAAGTACTGTGATACCCAAGATTGTATTGAAAAGTAACTTGTCAGGAATGGTATACTCAGCCAAAAGTGCACAGGAGTTATTCAGCTTATAAATGATGGAGTGCCTTAGTCACATTACAAAATACATCAGTGCAAGCAGGCCATATATATAGTGAAGAAATGTATATCAAAATATGTGATGTTTCAGGGAATAGGCATTTCATGATGGGGATGCATACATACAATGTCAGAAGAACTGATAAAGAAAATCACAGAAGATTTTTTTCACATTTTAGCAGTTTGATACTCAGGTGTGCTGCACACTAGAACATGCTAACTGTATAGAGTAGCCCCTAAGCCTTGAGCATGCTGCCATATGAGTGCAGTGCAGGTAATACACTTAAATATAATAAGAAGAAAGATGGAAAATTGTTGAAATAGTGTTACCCCAGCATATGTTTCGGTAAATAAAACAATTAAAAAGCTCGATTCACAAAGTGAAAACGTACTGTTGGATATGGAAGAACTGGCTCTAGATTATGGGACAGAAATATAAGAAATATAAAAATATCCATAAATGTTGTGTTTAATGAACATATAGGTTCAATAATTGGAAAAGACAAAAGTATGGATGCAAAAGTTGTTTAGTGGGGAAAAAAAATGAAGATTTATAAAATAATCAAGATAAAAGCATTTCAAGCCTGAAGGATAATGATTTAGAAGCTGATAATGCAAATGAAAATAAAAATGGAAAACATGATGCTGAATGGAAGAATGGCATATTTAGGAGTAGATAATTACTAGCAAAATACAGAGATTTTGTAATGTCATACCATGGAGCAGTATCAGGAGAAGCTAATGAAAAATGATTGAGATAGTCGTTTTAAAGATGGACTTTAAATTCTAAGACTAGTTAATTCCTTTTTCTTGTTGAAAACCTCTTGTAGCTTTGAAGAAACATATAGTCCTGTTGTAAGCTATGCCTCATTAAGAAAATTATTTGCAGTAGTGGCTAAGAACAAGCTTGAAATGACGCAATTTCATATAAAAAGTACTTTTACGATGGAGAGACAAAAGATATTTGTTTGGAAGTTCCATAAGGCTTTAATTATGGAAATAAGCACAAATTGCACATATACGTATTATAGAACAAGCTCCTTTCAGCTGGAATTGCTTCACAAACTTTATTAACAGAAAAGGTTTCATTCAAACTAAATGTGTTTGATGTATGTTTTAAACAAATTATTTCTTGATGATTTTAGTATGATGATGGTATTTTGATTGGTAAAGACAGAAAACAAATGAAGAAATTTTTAGGAGCAATATCAAATGAATTTGAGGTAAAAGTAGGCAAGTATTCAGATAAAATTTAGGGAATGGAAGCAGAAAGAAATATTAAAAGGAATAACACCAAAACAATCAAGATATTCACTAGATGTTCTCAAGAAATAAGAAATGTCTGAATGTAAAGAAACCAATACTGCAATAGGATTAGAATCTCAACAAGGTCTAATAATAAAGATAAAATTAATTTCCTTTATAGAGAAGCAACTGATAACCTTTTATATCTGTCTAACAAAACTCATCCATATTTAGATCTTGTTACTAATCTTGAAAGTAGACACGTAGAAAATCCAAGCATGAAAGAAGTTGAAAATGTAAAAAGGACTTCTGATAAATACTGTAAATTTGGGTTTCCATTATAAATGTTTGGTGAGCAGCTCTACTTCGAATGAAAAATTAGAAGTTTTCTGTGATGCTGATTATGCAGGTGATAAAAAAAGTGTTTTGAAGCACTAATGGATATGTGATTTTATATAAAGGAAGTCCTGTAAATGGGAGTACGAAAAACAATCAACCAATAATTGCTTTGTCAATTGCAAAAGCCGAGAGTACACAGAAGCAGCATACTGTATTAAAGAACATTTATATTTAATTTTTTTGGAAGAAATAATTAGTAGGACTTTTATAACTAATTTAGTTATTGATAATCAAAGTACAGTAAAATTGATTAAGAATGGAATTTTTGGTAGGAGAACAAATGAAAATTGAAGTTAGGTATTAATTTTTGTCAGGAAAAATTAAAGAAGTTAATAATATTAATTTAGTTTTTGTAATTTCCAACAATAACATAGCAGAAATGTCTATGAAAACATTAATTTAAATTTAATAAGTTTAAGACTTATTTAGTACATTATAAATTTTACTAAATTAAGTAGTAAATATTTTTTGATAAGAAGTGGTAAACTAAGTTCAATATTAATGGTTAATTCAGTTTGATTTTTGAATTCAGTAAGTGAAATAAAATTTAAAGGAAAGTGTTGAGGGGTAATTTTTATTTAATTATGTATGTAAAATTAAGTGGCTAAATGTTATTACAATATGAAGGGCAACAGAGAAAAATATTCATGTATTTTCTCATGTAATGAAAGTGTTTTTGGTTCTGTGTGATGTGATAGGATGTGACTGCAAATAAAGATATAAAACTAAATATGCCATTTGTGTAACAATATTTTCGGAACTAATCTTATATACGCTCTCACTTGGCGACAAATTTCTTGCCAAATATTTTTGGCGAGAAACTCCACAATGCCATATTACTATCTAAATTTTTTGTCTACATTTTGAACTTTAAGCCTAAAATGTCTCCAAAAACGCGGTTACAAGAATCCATGTACACAGCGATATGTTTTAACTTCAAAAAAATCTACAAATTGCACAATCTAGGCAATGAAGGAATCTGTGAACTATGCACATCTCACTTTAATAAATCAACATAACAACAATAAATTTCAAAGAATACTGTACACAGTATTCTGTTTAAACTTAAAAAAACAACTGAGAATTGCACAATCTAGGCATTGTGCACAAATCAACAAAATTTACTAAAATAACTAAAGTAAATTACAAACAATTCAAAAAGCAACAATAACAATGTAAATTCACAGTAAAAAAAGAATGAACATCTTCTTCTTCTTCAATGGCCTGACAGCCCAGAATGGGACTTCCTCAGAATCGAATTCCAAGCTCTTCTATCCCTGGCCATGGACATCCACTTGGTTATTTTTAAAACTCTTTAAGTCTATTTCCAAACAGTCAATCCACCTAAGTTTATGTCTCCCTCTTTTTTGGATGCCGAATGGTCTGGCCAAGAAGATCTTTTCAGTTACTCGATTTTCATCCATTCTGCACAGGTGTCCTGCCCATTTAATTCTCTGAATCCTTATATATTTTACTATATCTATTTCTTTAAAGGATTTATAGAGTCCAGAATTAGTTCTTGTCCTCCAGATATTGTTACATTTTGTGCCACCAAAAATACTTCTCAAATTTTTTTTTCAAAGACAGAAATGATACTTTTAGCTTTTCTGTCATTGCCCAGGTCTCAGCAGATTATGTAAGAATGGGTCTGATTAAGCTTTTGTAAATTAAGATCTTCATTTTTCTGCTAGTGAAGTTAGACTTCAAGTATTTTTTGAGACTGAAAAAAAAACTGTGACTGCATCTGTGACTTTGCTACGGATCTCAGGCATTAAATCATTGAGATTATTAATTTATGATCTCAGGCATTAAATCATTGAGATTATTAACTTCTGATCCTAAATATTTAAACTTGCTAATAGTTTCAAATTTGTAATTCCCAATTTCAAAATAGGGGCTGCTGTTATTACCACATGGTATGTATTTAGTTTTGTTTTGGTTGATTGCTAGGTGCATTTTGCTGGCTGCAGCCTGTAGAGATGTAAAAGGCCTCTCTAAGTGACTCGGGTGCGACTATGTCAATATCATCAGCAAGTGCAAAAATCTGAACAGACTTGTTAAAGATAGTCCATGAGTATTAATGTTGGAGTCTTTTATGATTTTTTGGAGGGCAAGGTTAAAAAGCAAGCAGGCCAGTGCATCACCCTGTCTGAGCCCATTTGAAACAACAATGGGCTCAGAAAGATTATATTGGATTTTAACCTAAGTTTTGTCTCAGTAAGAGTAATGGAGACCAAATTTATAAGTTTTTCAGGTATTGCAAATTCTCTTATGGCTTCAATTAAATATTCTCTATTTACTGAATCGTAGGCAGTCTTAAAATCGACAAAAAGGTGGTGCGTTGTAATGCCATATTCATTAGTTTTTTCGAAAATTTGCCTCATGTTAAGGATTTGTTCTGCTGTAGGTCTTCCTTTGCGGAAATCACATTGGTAATCACCTACAATATTTTCCGTATATGTTACTAGTCTACTAAAAAGTATATTGAAAATAGTTTGTAGAAAACACAAAGGAGACTGATTCCCTTGTAGTTGGTACATTTCAAAATTTCTCCTTTTTTGTGTAAAGGGCAGATGATGCTCAGTTTCCCATCTTCGGGTAAAACTTCTTGGTTCCAAACTGATTCGATGAGGTGGTGTTTCCTCAATGTTTTGACCTGCAGCACTTAATAATAAGTTCTGAAGTAATTGAGAGTCAGAGCCTGGGGCCTTGTTATTTTTGAGGTTTTTAATTCCTTATCTAACTTCTGCCAAAGATGGTGGCAGGATACTATCGGTGTTTACAGTGGGTAGGTTGAAGACCCATCTCGTGTATGGTCATTCAACAAATTACTAAAGTGCTCATTCCACCCGTGGAGTGCTTCTTTTCTATCATTTAGGATGATGATGTTTTTGTCTCTACAGGCAGTAAGTAGTTCTAGGCTTAAAATCTTTGTGGCCAAGATTAATTTCAGGATAGAAAGCACGGCTGGATCCCTTCAGATATTCAACATCCTTAAACAGGTCGTTGTGAAAAAGTCTTTTCTTAAGCCAATCATGTAACATGTAAAAATAACAGCACCAATTACTTGCCCTAGCATTGTATTAAGAAACTAATATATGAATATGTGTATGTATTATGCGCCTATTGTATATGTACCCAATGACAATTATACACCCTATAATTGCGTATAAATGCATTATTTTTAAAATACTATAAAATTAATTGCATCAATTATCCTCAACGGCACTCTACAATGTACCATCTGCTCATGTATATAAATGTGCCATGTACCTATTGATTATGAAATCGAATGATATAAGCATTGTAAATAGGTATAGCATTGTAAATAAGAAAACAGTATAGCATTGTAAATAGGAAGCTGTACCCATGCACCCGCATACATTTCTACGTAACGTGACACAGTAACGCAAAACATCAACGTAGTGTCCTATTATGAAATTAAATAAGCACCTATTACTAGTTATAACATTATTTTATGGATCTAGAGTTTCAGTATATGAAGTAAGTACGAAATGTTTATGTCACCAATGACTATTGTGTACCAAAATATAAGCGTATACACGCTTTTGTCTATATGTAATTGTGTATGTCCTTGTTTATATGTAATTGTACCCATGTATCTACTAGTGTTATCACATATCTTGGCACTGTATAGTTAATATACATCTATTACGCACTGAATAATCATGTACCTAATGTGTCTGTATATATGTATATGAATTTATGTTCTGTATATATGATAATGTAACTATGCATCTGCACATTTTATCCTGTAACACGGCACCGTATCGCAAAGAACTAACTAGAGCCCCACTCTAAAATTAATTGCACCAAAGACACTGTACTACACAGTACTAATCTAGGGTCTAACTTTTAATTCACTGTACTAATTACTTATTCCAGCATAACATTGCGCACCTAATATTTCAGTATGTACATGTCTTCTGTAATCTAATGATAATGCTTCAAAGGGTCATAGTGTACTCAACATATGAGTACACACGTTATGTATATATGCTATCGTATCCATGCTTTTGCATACACGTTGTAACATGGCAATGTATTATCCAGTGTCTAACATTAATTAGCTTTAACGCCACTGTATGAAGTACCAAATTTGTATGTATGTTTATATATTAGTATATTAGCACAATGAACACGTATGATTATCTAGATAAAGGTGGACGTGGCGCTATACCAATTAACCGTATTGGTAGAGGGGTGGTGCCCACGTCCTCCGTCGCATGTCGCATGTCTTAAGCCAATGGATCTTCTTCTGTTTTCTAGATTTCTTATATTCCTTAACAGAGAGTCTTGAATGTCGCTTTTGGACTATATTTTTATAAGCAGCTCTTTTTGCCTCTGTTTCAAGGAAGCATTCATTATCAAACCAATCCCCTTGGTTTGGGTTTTTCCATATATCCCAGTGTGTTGTCAGCTGAGCATATGATTGAATCTTCGAGCAAACTACGCTCATTTTCTAGTTTCCAGTTCGGCCATGTTTTTAGATTTTAGTTCTCCCCTGAGTGAGGACTGGAAATTTCGTTCAATTGCCTCATTTTTCAAATTTTCACAATCAAACTTTTTTGAAATTATCATGTTGTGTTCAGCAGCAAAAAGTACTAGTCGTTGTCCATTGTCATTAGTACTATCATGTAATCCATGCTTTCCAATTGTTGGTCTAAATTCATTCTCTTTACCCAATGTAGCATTCATATCTCCCATAACAATTTTAAAGTCATGCTTGGGACAATATCTCTATAACATATAAAGTTCCTCATAAAAAAATTCCTTCTCTTCCTTGTCCTCTGTAGGTGCATTTCCATTGATAATACTATAATTAAAAAAACTTTCCCCTTAGCTGAATTTTGTAAAGTCCGGGTGATTTAGGAACAAAATCAATCATTAAGTGTTTTAAACTTTTGTTCAATAAGAAACCAGTACCAAAAACATTTTTTTTTTCACATCACAGCTATAGTAAACCATGTAGTTTCTTTCTCAATGGTACCTTCCCCAAGCCATCGCATTTCCTGAATGGCAAGTAGATCCATATTATATTTGTCAAATTCTTCTATAAGGAATTGCAGTCCTCTACTGTAGTACAGCGTTTGGACATTCCAGGTTCCAAAACGAAAAGTCCTTAGGCCATTTCCAAGTTGTTATCCAGTAGAAGCAGTCCGGCTAATTCTATCTTTGGATTTCTTAACAGTAAGATTTTTTACAGGGGTAGTAAACAATGAACATAACATTCTTCAAAATAAAAGCAATAAAATGCACTTACCATAATACATTCGGGAATAAAATTTTGCCAGTCACACAACATCTGTGAACAAAAGTGTCATGATTTTGGTATATCACATGCCTTTCTGCGATTCAAAATTTCGAAAACGATAAAAACTTCCTCCAAAGTTAACTTACTACACGAAAACCACAATCCAAATCTTAAAACTCCACTGACAGCCACATACTTTACCAGCAACCATTTGACTGCACGTCCGAGTTCTCATATCAGCTCCACATTTCGGACATGCCAAACTCCGTTTTAAAAGTCCTGACTCCCACAGAAATTTAAAAGGAAAAAAAAAAAAAAAAAACACTTCGATCCACATAAACACACCCATGAACAAAAGACTCATTAACAACTAAAACATCGTACCTTTTAATACTAAATTTACTTTGCACACAATCTAAAATGTGTGACTGAAATCTTGCCACCACGTCTCTCATTGCAACATAGGCCATTTCAAAACACTCATGACATGAACCAACGAGCAATTTAACCACTGCAGCAAAAGAGTTAAGTTTCAACATCAAAAAGGTTCCCATACAAACAACATTGTCCCCAGAACCATCCCACAGCATGCAATCGCACCAAAAAACCAGCACAGAGCACATATTGTCACATTTGGTGGTCTTAGGGCATATATAAGAGTAGAGTCAAATTTTCAAGGGTTCCCAGACATGTGGATACAAAATGGAATGAGTTGGAGGACACAAGAGCAAAATCTGCAGGTTATTTGTTGAATCGTCTCGTCCTTTTTAGTAACATCAGCAGGATCATTAAGTAGAAAGTCAATGATCAAATGGCAGCAACTGTGGGGTGTTCAGGTAGATAATGAGTTTAGAAAATGCCAAACCCAGACTGGAGTGTTAGGAGGCTGCTAGGAACTGGAAGGAGGAAGTCTTGTTAACTTTAAGATCGGTCACTCTCAAATTATTCACAGTTACCTACTAAAAGCAAAAAGTGAACCTGTTTGGCCCAATTGTAATGCTGTTATATCAGTGTGTCCTTTTTTTTTTTTTTTTTTTTAACAGAGTGTCTGTATTTTAGAGACTTCAACTGAAGCATTCTGTTGAGAATTATTTGCCTTTTGACCATATAACCGGGAAAGAGGTCAAACCAATTTCTTTCAGTACATGAAGGAGACACACATGTCTTTGTTATTTAATTTGCTTTAATTTTAAAGTTGTGTCTTTATAGTTTAATGTTGTGTATTTTAATGTGTCTCATGTTTTTGATTTTGCTCCTGCATCAGAAAACATTCTCTACTTGTTTCATCTCAGCATACTTGCATATTGTTTTATCTCAGCATTAATCATTCTATTTTTTCATTGCCTTTATAAGTTCACTTTATTTTATGTTTGTGTTTGCTGCTTGCTTGTTTATGCATGTAACATGTGTATGGCACATTTAGGTTATGCAATAGAAAATCTACTACCATCACCACCACTAATCTCGCTACTGCTTTTCTATATTTAATGAAGAGAATAATTACATTGTTTGCAAATTATATAAGTTATAAAATAGGTAAATAAAATAATTTTCTAAATCATCAGTTCTTCGCACAGCCATATTAAATGCATTAGAAAGTATGAAAATGTCTTAATGTAGAAGTAAACAAATATTGATTAAAATTAAATTATTTTTCAGAATGGTGTTACACCTCTTCATGTTGCTGCTCATTATGATCATGTGAATGTTGCACTCTTGTTATTAGAAAAGGGTGCTGCACCACATGCAATGGCCAAAAATGGTTATACACCTCTTCACATTGCTGCCAAGAAAAATCAGATGGATATTGCAAGTACTCTTCTAGAATATGGTGCAAAAACTAATTCAGAGTCTAAGGTAATTTTTTAAATATTTTTAACTAGATAATTTTATTTTCTAAGTTATCAAAGATTTAATGGCACTTTCTGGCATTTGCACACTCCCGTTTAAAAGTTTCATCAGCTGTTGATGACTAACATTTTGCCAAGTGAAGACATTAAAGACAAGGGCCACTTTAAAAAATAACAGCACACTAAGAACTACAAAAAACAGCAACCAGATTAAAAGTTCAAAATGCAAGAAACATCCATAATAAATTACTTACTTTTTTCCCTAGGCAAAGTACATGTTGTTTTTCTATGTGCACAACAGTTTGTGTTCACAGGGGGGGGGGAGGGAATCAGAGAATTGCACAAACTCGGAACTGCTGCACAAATGTTGATCCTCGAAATTCAATTGTTTATGAACTACAACTTCATGGACTGTGAATTTTTGTATACTCTAGTAATGAGCAAAATGACTTGTTTTTGAGAAAATGTGAAACTTTCTTTTTCATAAACCAGTAAAAAGTCTAATTTATGTCAAAATATCTATGTTTGAATAAGGCTATATGTAAATCTAATAAATATCTTAAGTTGAACTTTTGAGGCATGAAAAACACAAGTTGGTCAATTGGCCCAGTGAAATTGGAGATATAAACTGTTCCATTACGTTTTGTGTAGAGTGTACATTATTTAATGTGTCTAATGCTATGGCTCTTCAAATATCAACTGCATTTTTTAATATTAAAGAACTGAGCTGATGTAATTTGTCTTAGTGATTCAGCAGTTGATGTTCTCATCTAAAGTTTCAGATATGCATTCAAGCTGCTGAACTTAGCAAAGCATTGAATACAGTACAAAGTCTTTAATCTGGACGTCCATAATCAGGAATGATCTATAATCCGGATCTCAAAGCTACAAACACATGCGCGTAATACCTTTACGCATGTGCGTTTAATGTCTAACAGATGGTATAAGCTAGGCTAAAATTATCTAATTATCTATTTCAGTTAATGTTTCAGATTGCGTTGTTCCTTAACCTTTAAATTGATCCGGCTTATTATTTTTTGAAGACTGTTAGAGCAATTTTATAAAAAGTAAGCTTGAACTTTCGATTATGTCAAAAAGAGTTTCCGATTCTGGAGCTGTCAAAGGATCTAAAAAGTGAAAGCATGTTTCCGTGTCCATCAAACAAAAAGTGGAATTGCAGCAAAAAATGGATAAATGCATGAAGAAAGTGACAGAGAGGTTAGTGAAAACAAAAAAATTTCGATTGACAAGTTAGTCGGTATTCTCGGCACAGCAATTACAGGACTTGAACAGCAGAACTTTGTAACTGAACAAGAAATTATGTCTGTTTATAGAATTAAAGAGAAAGTATTAGCACATAAAACGAAGCAACTTAAACAACTTACATTGAAAGAAATGTTTAATAAAGTAAACAAATAAATAATAAGTTTTTTTTTTTTTTTGTAAATTTTGTTACCTTTTAGATCATAATTGCTCTTTATTTCATAAATGACGGTTTCATATTTTTAATTTTAAGATAAAGATTTAGATTTAAATTTAGATTTAAATTGATGATCTATAATCCGGAAGAACCTCTAATCCGGAATCGCCGAAGTCCCGAGGAGTCTGGACTAGACTTTGTACTGTATTAGGAATGTGAAATAATACACTAAGTTAATATATGGCGAGATATTGTTTATATCTTGCTCTAATGAATTTATTTTATGTAGAATAAATATAGATTAATAATAAAATAAGTAGTAAGATAAAAAAATATATAAATCAAAGTTATAGTATAAACTAACCTCTAATTCACTCTCGCTCTCTCTGTTATAAAAATCATATAAACTTCTCTGGATTATGTCATTTCTATATCATTTCATTTTGCATGGCCTGCACAGTGCTGATGATGTAATAATTGGGAACTGAAACTTTTAACTCAAACCAAAACCTTCCTCTTCATTTGCTTTCATTTTAGTTAACTACAGACTTTAGTTTCTGTCTTTGCAGTGCTTGTATGCTATTTTCTTGTGCTAGTTTCCTATTGCAATAATATCAAAACTAAATTTTCTTGAATGGGCGCGACTAGAGTGCCAAAAGAACTGTGGCCACAAATGTCAATTACAAATAAAAATGGAATTAAAACTGCCTCAACTGCCAAGGTTTTTAGATAATACGAAGTCTATGTCAGAATTCTTCCTCTTCAATATGGATCTACTATCTATAATATCTAGGTATTGCGCATCGACGCTGCTCCATCTTTTCCTTGCTATTATTACATAAGTACATAGTCTGTATGAGGTGTGACATGCACACACTCATACACACACAAATAAATAAATAAAAAAGAGATAATTCCAATAAATCAGTGTACTTACAGAATTAGTTCTTTGTGATGTTATTACCTTCAAACCTTCAGCATTCACACACTTCTGCATTTGGTGCTGTCATTGCTGGTAACATTTTCAGAATGAGAAGGTACATCAGCGGATTCTCCGTTTTTCCCTGGACATCTTCAACTGAGGCAAAATAGGTTCCTTTTATGCAAAATTTAGGGAATAAAAAAAGTCACTTGGAGCCAAATCTGGTGAATATGGTGGATGCTGCCTCACAGTGAAGTTTTTGCTGGTCAGAAACTGTTTGACAGATAGGGCTTTGTGAGCAGGTGCATTATCCTGGGGGAATAACCATCCATCAGTGGCCATTTTTTCTTAATTTTTTCACAAAGTCAGTACTTGAGTGTAGTAGTGTTGAGTAACAGTCTGACCACTGGGAACACTCTCAATCATTAGAATCCTCTTCATGTTGGAGAAGACCATCAACATTATCTTGAATTTTGATTTTGTTGCTTCCCTCCAAAAAACCATTTATGCCATTCAACCACACATGCCTGAGACAAAGTTTCATCTCCACAAACCTTGATTAACATTTGAAATGTTCCTGTGGCTCTTTTCTGAAGTTTCACGATAAACGTGATATTTATTCACTGTTTAGTTTTTAAATTAGACATTCTTCTAGCAGAATGAAGTTGCACGTGTTCACTCATACAGTACTCCCAACTGGTCATATACCTTTAAGTCTAAAGTGACAACATGGATAGGATTATGTCACCAAAACAGTTGTTGCCAACTCCAATCTTTTTTCAAGTTATGCACTTAGTCTCTTTTTTTTATTTATCATATTATAATAATTAAAATTTTCACTTTAAAGTAAAAGTTGAAAAAATTTTAGATGACTTTTGTTAGTTTCATACTCTCAGGTTCGGTAAAATTTCTGAAAAATGCACTTTTGTAATTTTACATTAAAATATTTGTATATTTTTAAAATTCTGTATAAATAAATTTCTAGTAAAGTCATTATATAACGTAATGAGCTGCATTCAAATTTTTCTTCCTTTAGGCTGGTTTTACTCCTCTTCATCTGTCATCTCAAGAAGGACATGCAGATATGTCACTACTTCTGATTGATCACAAAGCTGATGTTAATCACAAAGCTAATGTAATATATACTTTTGTTTATGTTTAAAAATACGGTTATTTTATTAACATCAATAGCAGTATCATTTATGTTACTACCAATGAACTCACTTATATGTGTACTTATGTGTAAAGAAAGCAAGTGCAAATGTGCTTTATTTACAACTGAATGACAGCGCAGATTTATGTTTTCAGTAATACTTAAATGTCAGAATTTTGATTAAACATAGGCCAACTATGTAGTAAACAAACAAGACAGATGATAGGAAAATTAACATTAGGAAATCAAAAATTTAAAATACTAAGTATCTTTTTCAATACATTTTAGGATTATAAGGTATGTTTTTGTATATTTGTCTTATATCTCAAAAAGATGCTTTTCATGACATTAACAAATGAACTATATACAATTCAAACATAGTCATGAAAGGCAGGAAATTTATTAACTCAGTCGTGAAGAATATTATTACAGGTATTTTTAGAAACAAAAAGCAGAATTAATTTGATATGCTTATAATCCCAAGATAAAAGATTGAGTCAAAAAGACTTAAAAATTCTCACTGATTCTAAACTGGCTCTTCTGACATATTCCTTAAATGGGCTATTGACTTTTAGATTTAAGGAGATTTAACAAAACTGATTATTTTGTTGACATTTGTTGTCAAATTCTACCAAGCCATAAATCTGATAATTTTAAATGTAATAGAGCAATTACTAATTTTTGCTGGGTGCAAAATATAAATTTCTATTTGTCATAAAACAACATTAAACTGTAATGAAATATATATCTTATAAATATTACAATGTGTTTATTTTTTGTTATTTTACAACTGTATGCAATTCCTTTTTATAAATAATAGTTCATAATATATGTAGTAGGAAAACAATTGAATGTTTAACTTTGATGCGATAGAATCGTAAACTGAAAAAAGTAAATTGCATGGAATTGAAATTGTCAAGGGATAATACAGCTATAACTATTTTCTTAATTTTACTCTCTGTTGCTTTCTTCCAGAATGGTCTTACTCCACTTCATCTTTGTGCACAAGATGACAGAGTAAATGTGGCAACTGTACTTGTCAAACATGGTGCTGAAATTGGACCACAAACGAAAGCAGGCTATACTCCTTTGCATGTAGCTTCTCATTTTGGACAAATAAATATGGTTCGGTTTTTACTCCAGCATGATGCTAATGTGCATACAACAACATCAGTAAGTACATTATGAATTACTTTATGTACATGTTTGTCTGTCATACAAATAAAGTTAAGGAATAATAATGCAGTAATGCAGTTTCAAGGAGTCATTGAGACTTTTTTGCTATACTTTGCTGTGTTGAGTCACTCCCACAGCACATAACAGAAATGTGTAATTTCATATTTCGAATTATATTGCACCAGCTGCATTTAGTCAAATCAAAGATATCTTATAGTCTCAAATAATCAGTTCTTAGAAGCTGGTGATATACCTGGAGACACTGGAATATGTTCAAATATGCTGTAATGTACCATACATGAAAGAGGATGTTTAATTATATAGCAAGTTTATTGTGAAAATAGGTTTTTTTTTTTTTTTTTTTTTTTAAAGCTGGATATTTTGAAATGCCAATTGTGTTCTTTCTGTGAAAATAAACCCAATTTTTCAGTTGCTGTTAGAATCTTTTAACATCTGCATTACTTTGTAATATTGGAGGAATGTTTTTTAATACCTTGCAGATTTATTTCCTTTTTTCAAACTGATTTAATACTTATTGTTGTACAATCTTACAATTAGCTAATCTATGTAAAGAAATTTTATTTTATGAATAAGAACATTGTACAGAAATTTACTATTAGAGATTGATTATGAAGATAGCTACTCTAGGCATTAAATTTAATAGAGTGACAAATGAGTCAAACATTAATTTAAATAAGCTGTTTTCATACTACTAAAATTGTATTAAAGGCATGACAGAGGCCTTCTGCCAGGGCATGAAAGTATGTTTGTCCAACATTGATTTATCATACTGAAATACCAACCCTGTTGATGAAGCACCTTTGTGTGGAGTACAACTTGTACTCCTATATGGTACAGCCTTATATTAATATGTTAGTCTGTTTTGATTTAAATAATGTCCATTTCATTTGGTTGTAATAAAGTTTTCTGCCAAAAATATTCCTTATGAAGTTATGAAAAAAACATGAAAGCAGTACCTTTAGTGCGGGTATTAATCACCACCAGATCTATGATTCTCTACCAATGTTTTAGTAGTTTTTCAAAGCCTTCAGCCCAGAAACTTGCTGAGCGTGAGTCAAAAAACAGATAAACCTCATTTGGGATCTCCTGCACAAAATATAGGATAGCACTAACAAGATGTAGTTGCAGGTGTGGAAGAAAAGGGGAAGATCAAAGGAGGGATGTTGGGGGTATATGGTGGGTGTGGCAGAAAATCCCATTCAAGTCCAGACAGAGTCCATCCGGTGAATGCAGACACATGTGGTCTTGCATTGTCTTGACGGTACAATACCTTTTTGCGCAGAACTCAGTTCAACATTTTTCCTCAATAGCAGTGTCAACATGGGCTGTATGCCTTACTGTTGAGTGTTTTATTTTTTCCAGATACACTTTGCGGATAATACCATTGCAATCCCATCAAATACAAAGCATGATCTTTTTGTTAGTCAAATTGCACTCGGCAACGCTGCCAATGAGCTCACCAGGCACAGACCAACCCTCTTTTCGGCCTGTGTTGTTAAAGTAAATCCACTTTTCATCACAAGTGATGATCCAGTCCAGAATTTTGTCTTAGCACTGATATTTGAGCAGATTAGTTCAGTTTCGAAGACGTCTGTCTACTGCTTGAGTCAGCTTATGTGGCACCTAGCGGTTGAACTTTTGCGTCAAGTTTATGCAATGCATATCGCAACTAATGGACATAAAACTAACGTCTAACTCTTTGGCAAGCTCTTGAGTGGTTGCATATCGATCTTCTTCCACAAGTTTTTGCAGTCAGGCTCCTTCAACAACAATAAACCACCCAGTGTGCTCCGCTTCTTGAATGTCATAGTCCTTGTTTTTGAAATTTTGGTATCAAACCTTCACAGTGTATATGATGCAACATTGATACCTAAAACTGTACACATGACTTCTGTAGCTACTTTTTTTGCAGCAGAACTGGAAGTAAATGATAGTTCTAATCTGGTAGTGTGATAGTTCCATTTCAGACACCTGGAACTGAATGATGATAATATTTTTTTTCCAGTTTCACAACACAGTGTTCCAAAGGAAGTCTCTTTCTTTCAAATGCCAAATATCATTTGACAAAATATGTTTAAACATGCCAACACAAACTGTTTGCGCAGACAATATTTGCTGTGGCAGGAAACTTATGTAAAAACCTGATATATCAAAACTTCATTAAAACCCAATATATCAAAACGTTAATATAAATTTTGAATCTAATATGTCTTTGAATTTTTAACAGCATGGTTATACACCTCTTCATCAAGCTGCCCAACAAGGCCACACGCTTGTTGTCAATCTTCTTCTTGAAAATCAAGCATCTCCAAATGTTACTACAATGGTAAAGATTTTAAATATTTATTGCTATTCTTTTCTTGAAAATTTAAAAAAAAAATGTTTTGTCGTACCTTATTAGGTTGTATTATAAGACTTTCATGGCCTATTTATGTATTCAATAACTTTCTCTTTTTAATCAGTAAGGCAAGGATTTGATAGTATTACTTATTACAAATTTTATTGCTTCTGTTTATTAATAAGTATTGCGAAATATCTGAATATTTTTAATGGATTTTAACAATATAACAAATTATCAAAAGAGAGAAGACTTATGAGACTATACTTATGTAATAAAAACTTTTATTACTTTTATTATCAAATTATCTACGTGGCTAAGAAATTATGTTCCACTGTAACTCTGATAAGTTAGATTTAAATCTTTTTTGTACAATTTTCAGTGATCTACATGTTGAATGAAACTGGGTTCATGCTAAACATGCTTAAAAATCATTAGTTCAGTATGTGCACAGCACAAAAGTATATGTGTGCACATGGGTTTATGCTAAACATACTTAAAAATAATTAGTTCAGTATGTGCACAGCACAAAAGTATATATGTGCACATATATATATATATATATAATAGTTTATTATAAAAAAAAGGATTTTTTCCTATATCATCTCCAAGGAACAGAAATTTAATTAAATTAAATCGAATGAGGTTCAAGGTTCAGACTTGGTGTGTGAAGGTGCAGTTGCCCCTTGCTCCCTATTTTTTGACTTCGCTGATTTTTTTGCGTTTTAGTCTATGTGTTATATGTTTGATCATATAGCCTTGCTCAGTAAAAGTAGGCGGCCAGTGTAACTGTGATTCAAAATCTGGTTATGACCATGTGCAGTGCTGATAATGACCATGTGTTTCTTAGACACCTTTGCCGGCGCTTTATTTTTCTTCTTTTTTCCCCTTTCTAGTAATTTTGTTCTTCTAATGAGGAGGGACCTTTAGCAGCCCTCGAAATCGATTGAGTGTTTTAATATATGTACTCTAAATACAAGGTTGTTATTGTGATTTTGATTATCACATTGGCATGTTTCTCTTCTATTCTATGAAATCAATGTTAGAAGTCTGAGGAACTTGTTGTGTGCATCATGGCAGCAGATGGGGAAGTCCGGGACATGTCTGGTATTTTCCAGAACATCAGATCTTCCATGTAACGGAGATGTGAAACCTGTATGAGGGTCTGGTGTTGTAATTTTGAACACCTTTTTTTATGGCGATCGTTGTCTATTTTTGTTCTTATGTCTTGATTTCTGCTAAGCATAATAAACATGTTTCCTCACCCTGCTCATGTTCTTCCTTTCTTGTGTTTTGTGTTGTTACTACCATGCCAGGAAACCTTTTCGACCATGCTTTGCTATATGATTTTCCATTGCCTTGGTGTACTCTCTCTTCTGAAAGTTTGTAACGGATTTGCTGAAACATCCTGTAGGTATATGTTAAATTTTGAGTACACTATATTATGTACATATATAACTGTTAATGGTACATAATATATATATACTTAATTAATATTTAGAATATTATATGTAGTAATATTTTTCTTTGTTAATTTTATAATATTAAATATTGTCCTTTTGTAATATCTTAAATTTCAGTTATTTGCATAGATAATAAAAAATGCATTATTTTAATGTTAAGAGCCCAATTCAATGATTTTTGTTTTTTTTATGAATGTGAAATTTTTTTTTGTGATATTGAGTACTTATTTTGTAATACTATTTTATTAGCAAGGACAAACACCTCTATCCATAGCTCAACGCTTAGGTTACATATCAGTAGTTGAAACTCTGAAGGTAGTAACTGAAACAACTGTCACAACTACTACAACGACTGTTACTGAAGAAAAATACAAGGTGGTTGCTCCAGAAACAATGCAAGAAACTTTTATGACTGATTCAGAAGATGAAGGAGGTAGATTTTGTATCTAATAAAATCAATTGCTTTTTTATATGCCAATTAAATGTTTTAAAACAAACCAAAAAGAAAAAAATAATTAGAATTTTTGGTAATACTTTTTAAAGCAGCATATGATGCATAATAATTTTTATTAAATTTTTACTGTTTATGTAGTTTGTGTGTTGTATGAAATTCTGAAGTAGATTAAATTTTGACATAGCAGCTTTTATCCACAAAGTAGGATTTTTAAGGAACTCTGTCTGTTTTTGATAATTTTTTTAAATATTTTCCATATTTCATGTTATGTTTGTTTAGTTCCTTTTAAATAATTTCAAATGTGCGTATGTTGAATTAAAATCAATATTCAATTTGGAACCATAGATATCTGTAAGTGTAGCAATTTTTTTTTTTTTTTTTGGCTGTTGCTTACTACTTGTGTTAATTAATTAGATTCTAGTTTGCAAGCTTATGCTGCTGGATTTCATTAGTTTGTTTAATATTTGATTATGTAATTAGTTAGCATTTGCAATTTGTATACAGTCAAAAGTCATTAATTCAGACACCCATAATCTGGAATGATCTATAATCCGGACCTCAAAGCTACAAACTTTACATGCGCGTTTAATCTATAACGGATGGTATAAGCTAAGCTAAAATTATCTAATTCAGTTAATGTTGCAGATTGCGTTGTTCCTTAATCTTCGAATTGGATCCGGCTTATTATTTTTTGCAGACTGTTAGAACAATTTTATAAAAGTAAGCTTGAACTTTTGATTATATCAAATAGAATTTCCGATATATATTTGCTACTATGTAAAGGATCTTATGCGAAAGTATGTTTCGAAATCCGAAATCTGTTTATCAATTTCACGCTGCTCGGCGGGGGGAACGCCGCGGCATGCAATGAATTGGAAGTTGATCTGTCAACACTATCATTGTCTTCAGAGAAGATGTTTTTATTTTATTTGGCTTATAATTCCTTACTAAATGTAGTATTTCATCTCGATGTACTCCGTCTTTGATATGATTTAAAACAAGTTCCTCGTCATTATAATTCACTTCCCATAGTGAAGAAAGTGACAGAGGTTATTGAAAACGAAAAAATTTTGATTGACAAATTAGTCGGTATTCTCGACACAGCAATTATAGGACTTGAACAGCAGAACTTTGTAACTAAACAAGAAATTATGTCTGTTTAATAGAATTAAAGAGAAAGTATTATCACATGAAACGAAGCAACTTAAACAACTTACATTGAAAGAAATATGTAATAAAGTAAACAAATAAATAATAAGTTTTTTTTTTTTTTTGTGTAAATTTTGATACCCTTTAGATCATAATTGTTCTTTATTTCATAAATTACAGTTTCATATTTTTAATTTTGTAATTTCTGCATGCCATCTTACCAGATTTAAACTGATGATCTATAATCCGGAAAAATCGATAATCCGGAATCGCCGAAGTCCCGACGAGTCCGGATTAACGACTTTTGACTGTATTAGTATTTTAACAGGACTTCAAAAAATTAATATTCAGTACTCATGCAGTATAATATTGATTGCATATTAATAATTAATTTTGAACAATAGATGTCATTTTAAATGCATTCCATGGAAATTGCATCACAGAGTTTTATTTGTCATCACTCTCTGACAATTTTCTGCCACTTTTTACAAATGGAGTAGGTTCTGCTAATTTTTCAGAACATAAAATCACATTTTTTTTTATTCACCAACAAATTAAATTATTTTTAAATGCCCATAAATAGGTTAAAAAAGATTATTATAAAAAATCAAAGTACTTTTTCTTTTGTGAATTTTAGAAGAAAAGAAAATAATTTTTTTCCAGATTTATTTTTTATATTGGAAATTTGGTACTTTCTGATTATCCTCACACCCACTGGAAAACTGTAAAAAAGTACTGATAAGGCAATGCACCATTTTGACAAAAGGTATTTATGTGGCAGCCCATGAGGTTGCCAAAAAATATTTACTGTGATACTGCTGTGTTGTTTTGGGTATTTATTGCTGTGGCAATACTTCCCAGACATTCAAAGTAGAAAGTCCTAAGCAGTGTAAAAGCGTGAATTTTTTCCTCTGAGGGGAAGATATGATGAATACAAGAGAAGATGATGCCTCATGTTTGTATGCTCGAACGCTGATGGGAGCTGGTGAGAAGATATGCTGGTTGAGGAGCAGGGGGCGTGGCCTAGTCGGAGTTATCCAATCACCGTTGCTGTCTGGGAAGTAGTAAAGTCTAATTTCACTTTTTTATTTCTGTAATTGCTAAGTTCATTAGGCATATTGTCCATCAAAATAATCGGAAAATTATGGGTGGTATGAGGAAAATGATGTAAAAATCATAGCGTTAATTTCCAAATAAAAGCAGGTGAAAATTTTGTAATCGATTCTGCTGGCTGTTGCTCGCTGATGATTGGTCGAAATCCTATGGCGTCAATATTTCCGTTTTACTGAGAGGACTTAAAACATCGTGTATATAATCATGTTATTGTAAATTTAAAATAAGTATTAAGCTTGGGTGGTTAAATTTGAAGCATAGGGACGAATAAACAAATCTTTTAATCTGGGCAAAGGTTGTGGCAAAAGTTCATCACAACTTTTTGGAAGAAGTTTAAGTTATGTAAAAAGTCTTTCATGTATTCAATCTTGAGATCCCAGTGTAGATTTTCATTTCTAATGAAGTAAGGGGTGTTTGTAATAGTCCTTAGAAATTTATTTTGTAGAACTTATAACTTGTGGATGTCTCCTTTGTTTGCACTTGCCCGGGCCAGAGCAGCATAAGTTATAATTGGCCTAATGATGGCTGTGTATTGGCCTAATGATGGCTCTCTTGCGAGTGAGGCTGAGGCCTGAGTCTTTTGCGAGTAGAGGATACAGTCTTTTTATTATACCATACGCTTTTCCACACACATAACTTAGATGGTTAAACCAAGTAAAACTCCGGTTGAAGATAACACCGAGATATTTGGCCTTCGTTATGATGGGAACTGGCTTCCCAAGCATAGTGATTTTACAGCTAAGCTGATCTTTGGTCTTGTATTTCTGGATAACTAAAACTTGAGATTTCTCAGGATTTATCTTTACCTTCTATCTCTTGCACCATTCTTCTATTTCTGGAACTGCTTGCTGAAGTTTTTCTAAACTGTGATTGGGGCGTCTTGATTTGGCAACGATCGCAATATCATCCACGTAACATGCTAAGATGGTGTTTGTTTATTCTTTAAAGTTAGGAAAGTCGTTAGCGTAGATTGTATACAATAACGGCGAAAAAATACTGCCTTGTGGTATGCCTGCGTGGATGTAATGAGGCATTGAAATGTGGTCTCCTTGTTTTACTGAGAAAGTCCTGTCTTTAAGATAGGATATGAACATAAGAGTGATTTCCAGGGGAGATTCATGTGCACGAGCTTGTAGATTTAACCCTTATGCCAGACGCGGTCAAAGGCGAGCGCCACTATAGAGACATTAAGATTTTTTCCTGCAGATCAAAAATATTTATTTTGCAACCCAGGTATATATGTAGCATTCCCCCAGACAGTTTTCCACTACAGATATTTCTGTTAATGTGATTGAAGGTTAAAATCTTTCCTATGAGAATTTCAGTGTATTAATATAGCAGCAAAAAACATACTATAGTTTTCATCATCTTCAGGAAAATCTCTGACTTATCTTTCTGCATATATTGAGCTTAATGTGACTTGCTTAAAGCCATCATGTGCCTCTTTTTTCCTTTCCATTTTAGGATTTTGGTGCATGATACTGAAGTTCTTCATGATGATAATTTTGTGCAATTGTCTCATATTTTTAAAACAAAAGCTAATTACTGTGTACATGAAGAAAACAATGCGAGGGGGAAAAAACAAGGACCATGAAATGAGAAAAAGGAATGTAAAAAAAAAAAAAAGGGGGGGGGAATGCTTTTTGTTTGGATGCATCACTGAGATAGATATAAAGATACTCAAACCAATGTTTCTCACCAAAGTTTGCAGTGAGTTCAGGACTTTTTGGTTAGGGTGTGAATAAACAGAAAATATTGGAAATTTTAATGTTTAAAATGAGTATTTTCAAAAATTTCATTAGAAAATTGATTTAAGTTCCCATATTTGTTATGCAGTACAAAGTCTGATATCCAGATGTCTAATATCTGGAATGATCTAAAATCCGGACCTTAAAGTCACCACCAAAAAAATTTTTTTATGCTTTATGCATGTAAGAAAATATGTAGAGAATCCCAATTCTTAATTTCACTTCGCCGCTAAATAAAATATCTTGTTAATGAAGAAATTATCATTTTAGCATAAATTTGTGTGATCAATATAACTGTTATCTGCTTGACATACATCTTAAACTGAAGCATTCTACATATAAACATCATTGATGTTACAACTACAGTCAAATACCGAAAATCCGCCGACCTGAAATCTGTGTTGCCTCTCAAAATATAAACATTCAGTTTATAGGTTCTAGAAACCGCAACATTGAGTACGAAATATCGAAGAAAACATACTTACCGAATAATGACGTCATAATTACCGAATAATAGAGTTCATAACAGAAATACCAAATTATTGACATCATGATAAAAGTGTTTTCCCTCTAATCTGCATTGAGGTAAAAAAGCAGACGATTCACTCAACTCTTCTTTCAAGTTCACGATTCATGTTGTTGTATTTTCTGAGCTTTGTTATTTCATGAGATTATTTAGTGCTGCCTTTTTTTCTTATCCGGATATTTTGTGGGTAAATTAAAAATATTTTAAATTTCAGTCTTTTTAAATATGACAGATAAGAAACACACTCATGATTTTACTGCTTGCAACATTGAAAAATGTAAACACAGTGCATTGATGGTAAAGCAAAAAGTGCAAATTCTGCAACAGATGGAAGCAAGTTCCACTCGTCGGTTTATAGCAGGGGAAAAGTGCAGAATCCCCCACTGCTTGGCATGTTTTTAAGAATTGCACATACTAGGTATCCATGTACACATCGACCTATT